TCTCAGCATTTAGGAAGAAAAGGCTGACAGATCTGAGTTCCAGGCTGGCACTGGCCAGCTTACATAATAAGACCCTGTCTCAAAACAAAACAAAAAAAGCTAATAATTTTAATGTATGTGTCTGTACATATTTCAATATATATATAAAAACACAAAACCTAAAGCACAGAAGTCTTAAGCAGTTTGGATAAAGGATATTCAATGTGAACTACATAAATGTTAATCATTTTTGTCGTTAAGAGAACAGAATTTTTATTGATAAAAACCTCTGTGCTAGACATGAGAGACATGAGGCACACCATTGATTGAGGTGATGCTCACTTCGTGAACTTTTTTTTCTGCAGAGGCTGGATACGTCGCTACTCCCATAGCCATGGTTCAGGCTGCCATGACTCTTCTGAATGATGCTTCTGACCTACCTAAAGGGTAAGTTTTGCTTTCTTCTAAAGGTGAGAAAGTGTTTTCAACCATGTGACAGTTTAGCTACTTTTGAGTTGATTTTTAGTCATGGATCTACACACAAGTTTTTGTGTTCCTTTGGACCAAAGATAAATATTAAAGCAATGCCAAAGACAGTTCCTTATCTGCCTTTGGTGGATTTACTGTGAAGGTGAATAAGAGCCATGTAAGCTGGCTAGCAGTGTTATCTGGGGCTCCTCATCAGTGCTGAGTATACATACACCTTGGTGACAGGGGAACCCGGCCTGGGGGAGGGGCTCAGGACTGAGTCATGCAGCAGTGTCTGTGGAGTGTGCTGAGCATTTAGTTGGTGCCCTTGGAACTAAGCCAACCTCACCAGGGCACAGGACCCCATGACTGAAAATCTAATCAGGTATAACCTATAACTCAAACAGTATTAAGTAATACAGATAGAAGTGGAGTGTTATAAAATCTAATTAAAATTTTCTAGTACTCATTTGCCTTTTTTGCAAATTATTGGTCATTATGTTAAAGTTGATGAAAAAGAAGTTTAAGTGCTGTTTAATAATAATTGGCCAGCTGAATGAATCCCATTCATGTTTTTATTTAGTCTTCTTGAGTGTGAAACCTCAGGTGTGCGATGCTCAGCCCCTTGAGCTCACCTATGGTATGGAAGTGTCTCATGAGAAACTGAGCCATGCTGCTGACGAATTTCTTTGAAGTAAATGCCATGTGCTCATTTGGTTGGTTTTAGGGATGGAGCCAGAAGTGGCTAACAGGGAAGAACTGGTTTTCAGGAGTTGTGCAGTGACTCAGTTGATAGCCGTCTTACGGAATAGAGGGCTGGGGAGGAGCCACATGCACTGTGTTCTCTTGTTACTGTTTTACAGGGGCGGTGTCTTTACTCCTGGAGCCGCTTTCTCCAGAACAAAGTTGATTGACAGACTCAACCAACATGGCATTGAATTTAGTGTCATTAGCAGCTCCGAAGTCTAAACATTTGAAGATAACTGAATCATAAAATGCACGAACTAACAGCTTCTGTATTTGCTATTATGTGAAATTCTTCTATAAACCTATCTGACTGTATGTGGAAGACTGTCAAGTCTAAATATCTATGCATTAAAAGCAGGAAACTATACTAGCTTATCCCAGACTTCCTAGCTCAGGTGTTTTTATGGTTTTATTGCTTGTGAGAGAAAACTAATATTCTCCTTCCCCGCTTAGTGACAAATGAACTGGAAGGTCAGATAGGGAAGGCTCCCTGTTTGTGTGCTGACAGCGTCCTTACTGATGGGGCTCCACTGGTGGGAGGCTGCGTGCAGCGGTAACTTCTGCCTCCCTTGCCATGATGGTGTGAATCTCACCCCCCTGGGAGCTCCTGCATGGTCTGTGAGCATTTGCTAAGTAAAACTGTACTTTTTCTATTTTAATCTACTTTCTCATCCATGTACCTGGACTGATTTGGATTGTTTACCCAAGTTGGATAATAAAGGGTTGTTAGTTGAATGGTGGGCTTTTTGGTTTGGATTTCCATGCTTATTTTTGTACATCGGTACTACTTAAAGTGGCCTGACCTACTTACTTTTTGTCCCTGATTTCATAACTGATTAGTCTTAAATGACTTTTGACTTTATTGATCTTGACAGCCTCAGCAGAATTTTTCTCAAATTTGCGTTTCAGACACAGTTGGCACTGAAACGCAAAATAAAAAGAGCATTTCCTCCTCTCGTAATAACCACATGAGATACATGTGCTCAAAGATTGGGGATGATGGCTGGGTGGTATCACACGTCTTTAATTCCAGAACTCAGGAGGCAGAGGCAGGCAGATCTCTGAGTTTGAGGCCAGCGTGGTCTACAGAGCAAGTTCCAGGACAACCAGGGCTGCATAGAAAGACCCAGTCTCAAGGGGAAAAAAGAGAGGTATTTAAATACATGCACACATTATAGATTAAGCAAATAAAAGTAATAGCATTCATCACCTTAGATTATTTACCATTTCTTTGTGGTGAGAACACAAAACCCTTTAGTTAGACACTGTTAACTATGGTCAGTTAGCCTGGGACAGAACACACAGACCCACTCCTTGTAACTTGTGCCATTGACGAAGGAGGACTCCTTTCCCAGTTCAACACCTCCTCAGGCTCTTGGTGGAAACCATCCACTGTCAGCTCTATAGTTATTTTTTGTAGATATGAAATTATATAATGGCTTTCTCTATGTAGTTTGATTATTCACTTAACACAATGTCCTCTAAGCTTATCTGTGTTGTCACAAATTAGAATTTCCCACTTTTAAAGAAAACTTATTTGTTCTTTGACAGTTTCATACAAGTGTATAATACATTCTGGTTTCTCTCACCCACCTCTTCATCGCCCTTCAACCCCGTCAGCTCTTCCAGTCCCTTCCCCACACCCACGCTTTCCGTTTAGTTCTGTGACTATGGCCTTCTGGGCACCCATGGTTTTGGATTGGAGTCCAGGGGGCTTCTCAATGAGTCCACAGCTGAAGACAGTGACTGGCCCCGAGTCTGTCAGTAGTCAGTAGTTCAGCAGGGAGCGCCAGGGCCCAGCGAGCACCTCCTCAGTCTGTGATTGATAGCTGCTAGGCCCAGTGCTGGCAGCCAGAGCTCTGTGACCATGGCTGCAGAGGCTGTCATGCCAGAACAAAGCACCCACTGTCATTGTTCCTCTCTTCCAGCCCCCTCTTCCACTGTGTTCCTGAGCTTTGGAGGGGAGTGGTATAAATTATGTTTAGGGATGAGCATTTCATTGTCACTTATCGTCAGCTCTTTGGTCAGCCATGATTCTCTGCATTTACGTTCACTGCTAAGAGAAGCTTCTCTGTCTGCGATTGTCATTTCATTAAAGGTATAAATAGGAATATTTAGAAGGTGGTTTGGTACCATATCAATTTAGTTAAACAATCTTGTTTTTCTTAAGATGGAGTAGTATTTGTGTGCACACATACACACACAGGCCATATTTAAAAATCTGGCTGTGCATTGGTGGACACCTAAGCCCTAGCTCAGCTTGAGAATAACGCTGCAGTGAACATGAAGTGTGGCTAGCTTTCAACGTGCTTGTTTCAGTCCCTTTGAGTATACACGCAGTAATGGGATTGCTTGATCATAAGATACTTCTGTTTTCTTAGGAACCTTCAAGGAAGTACTGCACACATTAAGTGATAGAATTGTGAGAACTGAACAAGTTAACGAATGTTTGGAATTATGATTAGAGTCTGGTACCTGGTAAATGTGTGTTACAGCTCACTATATTTTAAACTTTTTTACAATTAATTTTTAAGATTTTATGTGCGTTGCAGTTTTGCCTGCATGTGTTGTTGGATCCCCTGTAACTTAATGAGTTATAGACAGTTGTGAACTGCCGTGTAGGTGCTGAGAATTGAACCTGGGTCTTTTGGAAGAGCAGATAGTGTTCTAAACACTTGAGCCACCTCTCCAGCCCCAAGAGTCAACTATTCTTGTGACTTTGTTACTAGATGTCCCCCTGGCCCTGAAAGGTTTCCTTATAGATTCTACCTAGAGTACTTGGTGTCTATCAGTCTCTAAGACTCACCAACCATTGATGGAATCGGTGCCCGCTACAGGATGGACTGTCTGCTGGAGGGAGTTTGCTAACAGTCGGCTCTGCACCGCGGAGATCCTACAGTACCGCACTATTGCTGCTGAGCCAGTTGGTTGTATTTCAGATAAACAAATGAATAGAAAACAAGTGGAGGCAACTTGTGGACGGGTGGACTTGTTCAGAGCAGGAGTACAAAATAAATGTGACTAACCGTTGTCTGTTCTGACAACAGAAGCAAGCAAACTAATCAGACAGGCTTTATTTAAAGTGTAGACGAGCCTGACGTGTTGTCTCACACCTGCAATAGCACTGGGGATATGAAGCCAAGGACCAGGGCAGCCTGGGTTAAGAGTGAAACCCTGTCTTGAAAAAAGAAAAAGAAAAAGTGGCTCAGTGCTTAAAAGCATGTACGGGTCTCGCCGAAGACCCAAGATGAGTACCCAGGGTGGGGCTGACAGCTGCTAGTAATTCTAGCTCCAGATGATCCAACTCCCTCCTCTAGTCTAAAAAGGTACCACATGCATGTACAGACACACATACATAGATACACATAAAAATTATTTTTAAAAACGGAAAAAAGAAAAGAATGTGAGCTACTTCCCAGGAAAGCACTAATATAAATGTTTACTGAGCATACTCTGCCAGAAGGTTGGTAATTATTAACTATCCCAGATAACTGATGAGGAAAGAGGGGCTTAAAAGGAGGGTGAGTGAGTGGCCCCACGCTGTATACAATGTATAAGTGATAGATTTCGCCAGGATTGAATTGTGGGCACTCAGACCCAGAGCTTCAGGTTCTGAACATCTACCACAGACATCTCTCTCCATCTGTGTACATATTTTTAGAGAATTTTTAAATCCAGTTAATCCAGCGTGGTGGTGGCACAGGTCTGTGTTTCCCCATATTGGGCCAGGGGGTCAGGTTATACAGAGGCAAGATAGGCCAGTCTGGTCCACATATCAAATGGAGGCATCTTACCTAAAAATGACAAATGGATACATTTGTCAGTAAAGCTCACGAACTCAGAGCGTGTTTTTAGTTTGCTTGTCCTCACTGTTGACTATGCAGTAGATACTCTTTCTTCTTCTTCACTATGAAAGCAACATCATTTTTCAGCCTCCGTAAGCTGGATTCAAGCAGGTCCTCCAAATCCTTTAGCATCTGAGATCGTTGGTGCACAAAAGGTCGAAGCATTTGATCGTCTTCCTAAAAGATAAATGAAAGGGAAAAAATGATAGTAGATATCATGACTGGAGTGAAAATACTTGGTGCGTGTGAACGCGGTGTCCAGCAAATGTCTGTGTGGCTGAAGAGCTGCGCTGGACCCTTTCCAGCAGTCAGTGGGGACCTGGAGCAGGCGCTTCAGGAAGGCTGTTGGAATCCACCAGGAGTAGGGTGAGATAGATGCCCACAGCTTCAGACTGGAATGCCGTGTTCTTTCAGTGCTACAGACATTGAGACTTGCACAAGAACTCCCAGAGAGAGGCCTTTACTGGTGTTTCCCCTGCCCGGTAGAAGCACCCCTAGAAGGGATTGCAGAGTCCGGGGAGTATCGGCAGAGGGGGGTGGGGCAGACAGGTGACATGGCACTAGGCTCCGGTTTGTTTCCTGGATTATCAATAGATTCCTGCCTGTTTGGATCCTTTACCCACTATTTCCCTGATGAATTTTCCATGTTTCTTTTTCCTATTTCAAAGCTAATCATTTATATATTCTGAACATTAATCCATGAGAGTAGTTATGGGTTGCCAGTCAGGAAGTTTCAGATGCTAGAGCACTTTGGCTTTTTGAGTGAGAGGTGTTCATCCAGTTAAAGTCCATAAAAATATTCTTCAAGTCAAAAAACCCTGAGACATGTTAGATAAGGGATAATCAACCTATAATACAAATTAGTTTGTACTTAGAGTATGGAGGAGGGTGTCCACAGGTGTGCTGCGGGAGCCTGAACTTAGTCTCAGTTGTTCATAAGGAGCAGTACACCTTGGTTTGTTGTTTTTTGTTTTGTTTTTTTTTTTTTTTTGAGGTGGATCTCTGCTGTGAAGCCCACTGAATAGGCAAGGCTGACTGGCCAGTGAGCTTCAGGGACCCTTGCCTGCCTCTCCCTAGGACTAGAATTTTACACATTCGCTGCCATGCTTGATTTTTTTATGGTCCCTGGGGTTAAACTCGGGTCCTCATACTTGTGCTATAGGCATTTTACTGGCTAAGCCACCTTTCCAGCCCCCAGTGCTTATTCTTAACTTTATTTATGGGGTCTGAGCCTATTCAATCCCCATCAAAACACCAGCACAATTCTTCACAGACCTTGAAAGAATATTCTACTTCATATGGAAAAACAAAAAACCTGGGATACCTAAAACAATCCTGTACAATAAAGGAACTTCCAGAGGTATCACCATCCCTGACATCAATCAAGCTCTGCTATAGAGCTATAGTAATAAAAAAACATCTTGGTATTGGCATAAAAACAGACACATGGATCAATGGAATCAAATTGAAGACCCTGACATAAATCCACACACCTATGAACACATGGTTTTTGACAAAGAAGCTGAAATTATACAATGAGGAAAAAGAAATTATACAATGAGGAAAAAGACATCATCAACAAATGGTGTTGGCATAATTGGATATTGACATGTAGAAGATTGCAAATAGATCCCTATCTGTTGTCCTGCACAAAACTGTCCAAGTGGATCAAAGACCTCAACATAAATCTGTTTATGCTGAACCTGATAGAAGAGAAAGTGGGAAGTAGCCATGACCGCATTGGCAGGAGAGACTACTTCCTGAATATAATACCAGTAGCACAGACACTGAGATCGACAATTAATACATAGGACCTCCTGAAACTGAAAAGTTTCTGTAAGGAATGGACACAGTCAATAAGACAAAACGACAGCCTACAGAATGGGAAAAGATCTTCACCAACCCCACATTTGACAGAGGGCTGATCTCCAAATATATGAATAACTCAAGAAAGTAGACATCAAAATACCAGATAATCCAATTAGAAAATGGGGTACATAACAGTATTACCTAGCTGTAAAGCAAAACAAACAAAAAAACATTGACTTCATGAAATTTGCAGGCAAATTGATGGAACTAGAAAAAAATAATTCTGAACGAGGTAACTCAGACCCCAAAAGACAAACATGGTATGTACTCACTCATAAGTGAATATTAGCTGTAAAGTAAAGGATACCAACCTACAATCCACAGCCCCAGAGACTAGATACCAAGGAGAGCCAAAAGAGGGAAGCATGGATTTGCCTGAGAAGGGGAAATAGAAGAGATCTCATAGAAAACTGGGGACAAGGGACTGGGGAATGGAGGGATGGGAGCTTGAAGGAGTGGTTTGTTGGGCTGGGTGTGGGAGGTGTGTTGGAGGGGGAGAGCAATAAAAGAGTCTTGATTGGGGATATTTTGGGGTTAGGGAGAGACCTGCTGCCAGGGAAACCCCTAGGAATCAAAAGGATGACCCCAACTAAGACTCCTAGCAATAGTGGAGAGGGTGCCTGAACTGATCACTTACTGTAAGCAGATTGGTGACTTCCCTAAGTTGAGGAAATACCTCCATGAGATCCAGCTGTGAAGAATTTTCTCATTTAGTGATCAATGCAGGAGGGCCCATACCATTGTGGGTGGTGCCATCCCTGGGCTGCTGGTCCCAAGATCTATAAGAAGGTGGGCAGAGCAAGCCATGGGAAGCAAGCCAGTAAGCAGCACCCCTTTATGACCTCCATCTCCTGCCTCCAGGACCCTGCCCTGTTTGGGTTCCTATGCTGACTTCCTTTGGTAATGAACAGCAATGCCAAAGTGTAAGTCAAATAAACCCTTCCTCCTCAACTTGCTTTTGGTCATGGTGCTTCATGGAAACAATAGAAACCCTAACCAAGATAGGTTACATGGTGCTTTATTTTTTTATTTCATTTTATTTTATTTTGGTTTTTTGAACAGGGTTTCTCTGTGTAACCCTAGCTATCCTTTAACTCACTCTGTAGACCAAGCTGGCCTCAAACTCACAGAGATCCACCCACCTTCCTCTGCCTCCCGAGTGCTGGGATTAAAGGCGTGCGCCACCACTGCCTGGCCAGGATCCACACTAATTTGCTCATCTGCTCACACACACACCTCCCATCTCTGTGCCGTCAAATCTGTAGGCTCAGTGGAGTGCTGCCTGGGTGTCGCAGGGAGGCTGAATACTCACAGGGGGTCTGCACTGCCGCAGTCCCAGCAGCTGTCGTCTGGCCACGCTCATGCCCCCATAGAACACCTTCAGGGCTCTGGCCAGCTGGGCATCGCAGCCGGCTTGCTGAGCACACATCCGCTTAGCCTCTCTGACAGCCGGCAGCTGTGTTCTCACCTCACCTCTCTCTGGGTTATCTGCCCTCCGGGCTGGGGTACCAAAAAAAAAAAAAAAAAAAAAAAAAAGTATGGGTTTCTCTGTGTAGATTTAGTTGTCCTAAAACTCACTCCCTAGACCAGATTAGCATCAAACTTAGAGATCTACCTGCCTCTACCTTCTGAGAGCTAGGATTTAAGGTGTGTGCCACCAGGCCCAGCTCTGGGGACATTTTATGTCTTCAGTTATCAGCGCATTCCCTTTGGAACCACTCTAAGAAATCTTACAGGGCAAAAGAGAAAGGGTTCTGTGTTTTGTTTATGGTCTAAGATATGAATTAACTCATTAAAATGTCCTGTTCTTCTGGAGCTGGAGGTATGGCTCAACAGTTAAGAGCACTGACTGCTCTTCCAGAGAACCTAGGTTTGATTCCAAATGCCCACATTTGGTGTCTGTAACTCCAGTTCCAGGGGATCCACCTGACAGCCTCTGCTAGCCTCTATGGACACACATGCACTCAGGCACACATATATAAACATAAAAATAAGTAAATGTTTTTTTAAAACTAATTCCTGTTCTAGACAAATAGCACATTCCAAACATGGGAGTTGGGAATGAGATAAACCAGCAAATGGTACTGTCTCTCACCCTGCTGAGCAGAACCAGTTTTTTCCAGCGATGCCTTGAGAAACACGTTTTCTTCTCTGAGGGCTCGATTAACATCTCTAAGCAGCTCCGTCTCCTGCTCTAACATGAGCAGTTTCTGATAAATTTCTGGTACCTGGTTTGACATGATCTACAGAAGATATGTCAGCTCAGCTTTTGTGGCATTACCTGCATAGCATTCCAGACTAGTGGTTCATACCACCTTGTGTAAACAAGGATGGATGGGGGTGGGGCAGGGAGAGGTTTAAGTCCCTCAAGACACACATAAAAGCACAAAACCACTTCATTGAAGGGATGATTCTTATGGGCTGTCACCGAGATTGTTCAGCCCTCTTGTCATCTTCCACGAGTACAAACCTGGCTCACATTCTTCACACCGGACAGTTTCTTAGTATCTACCACAATGTGGCCTTCACCTAGGAGCAGGCTGTCCAGCTGAGAGAAGCCTAATTCAGCACAGCCTTCTGCAGCGTGGGAGAGAGAACCAGAAAGAAAAGATCCCAGTGAGCTGAAGTGAATGTCGAACTCCAGGCCTGGCAGAAGATGGTGCTTACCCACTGCTCCCCAGACCCGCCTGCCTCCCTCCGCTCCCTCTCAGCATTAAATCTGGTTGAACAGCACACCTAGGAAAGAATAAACAAGCAAGGTACCTTGGAGGCCCCACAAGTCAACGACCAGAGCATTTGTCAGTAAGTAATCCAGAAACTCGCGAGATGCACTCAGGGCTACGATGTGGACAGTCTCTTCGATCCGGGGGTTCACGCTTTTCCACACAGGTTTGGTATACAGAGTGTTTGGGAGATCATAGATTCTGTACCTGAGGCAAGGATATAAAACATAATTGAAAACCAGAAGGGGCATATCTGTGAAGAAAATAATCGGATGAGCCGTTGAGCTACAATGCGGCTAGATGAGAAGCTGCCCTGTAACTGAGTCTTGTGGCTTTCCGCCTCCAGCGCTGTCACTCAGCATGAATACCATCGCCATCGAGTAGGTAAATCCAACAGGCAGCAAGGGGTTAATCAGTATTTAAAGTGCTAGATTTCCTTGGGAGGTGTTCAGTTTGTACTTTTTTCTGTTTTGTTGTTGTTGCTGTTTTTGTTTTTTGAGACAGTTTCTCTGTGTAGCCCTTGAACTGTCCTGGAACTCTGTAGACCAGGCTAGGCTCGAACTCACAGAGATCCACCTGCCTCTGCCTCCTGAGTGCTGGGATTAAAGGAGTGTACTGCCACTGCCCAGCACATTTTTTACCTCTTAAAGCACCCTTTCTTTACCTTTCAATATCCTTTGAATCGAATGAATTTGACCCTTTCTGGTTGTGTCTGTACTTAAACAACATGGTTTTGGTGGATATTTTTTTTGTGGCAATTCAAATATCTGACCCTGTTGCTTTAATCACATAAGAGACTCAGCAGCCATCCTAGGCATGTGGAGGGCCATGTGGCTTCTCTGTGTGATGGAGAGAGTAGCCATTTTGCAGTTGAACAAAAAGAAAAACTTAGAATTTTGTGATACGGTGTGTTCATGGAGCGGTAGTGCTCATCCATACCCCATCTGAATGCCCCGGTTTGCATCTTCCTTTAGCCATTTGACACCAAGGCATCTGATGATCTGAATCTGGAAGTCAATCCTCTTGCCCAGTAGCTCCAGGGGGTCAATAACCACATCTTCCTCACTGTGGGCCCTACAGACAAGAGTTGAACATCAGTCTCTGGATTAGGCTGGACCCAGGCTAGTTAACACTCAGAAAGTCATTAAGAGATAAACAGAGATAGACAATTGCCCTGGAGGGCTGGTATCTGCTGTAGAATCCATTCACTGAAGAGCCAGTTCCGGATGGTGCTTCTGGCAAAGAGAGCTCACAGCCCAGAGAAGAAGCCAAACATCTCTGTGTGGCGAATGTGGGTAAGATGCAAAACCCACACTGAGGACGGTTGGTCCCACTGGGGAGGAGGAAGGGCCAGCTGTCTGCTCAGAGGCTGCAGCCTAATTTCTCATCTACCTTGGTGAATCAGTCATAGTCCAGAGTCAACGTGATCCCTCTGTCCTTGGAAGCTGACTGGGACAGCTTTCGGACTGGGGACCTCTTATGCCAACCCAAGCTCTTAATTAAAGGCTGAAACCCACACACAAGAATACCATGTTGTTAATTTTCAGTGTGACCATTGGGCAGCCTAGGTGCCTAGTGCAGACAGGTGACGAGCCAGTGGCCTGAAGTCCCTACAGACACTGCTTTTGGTCAGCTTGGCCTTTTGGACCCAGAACTACAAGACTCTCCTACTCCCTTCTCAAGGGAGTTTCCTCTTCATCAAGGCAAAAGGTCACATTGGATGTTTGTACCCAGCCCAGGACTCCTGCCAGACTTTGTGCTTAGAAATGCTGAAATACTGTTAATATAAACACCCTATGGCCTAAAACATAAATAATAAAATGGGAGTTTAGGGACAGCACAGAAGGATCCGGACACCTAGCCGCCCCCACATCCCAAGCCAAGGAGCAAAGCTCCGGCCTCTGCCAAGAATGGAGAACAGAAGCCAGCTTTCTGCCTCTGACCCTGACACCTGCCAATTGTGACAAGCATCCTGTGGAGTGGATGCCAGACCTGCAAGCTGCCAGGAGCAGGCTGTGGCTAAGGGTAAGCATGTCCCCAAATAGGCTTCTTTCCCAGGGGTCCCCTCATGGAACCAACCCAGGCTTTGGGTCATTGTTCAGCGTTCCTCACTCCATCTGCTGTTTTGTGGGATGTCCTCCTGATTCCCTGGGTCTCCAGGACAGTGCTGAGCTGTCTCTAATGCTAGCCATTTGACAAGAATCAGACTCAACTGGGTCAAGTCATAAAAGAGCTAATTCACTTGTCTCATCGGTGACCCCTTAAGGGACCAAGTTGATTTCTCTCCCCGCTTCATGAGAACTCCGGCTCTTTTGAGCGTCCCGGGAGGGGACCGAGACTCACCATCCCTCCGGGGAGCAGGGAGTGATGCGGATGTGCAATACTGCCTCCTCTAGCCCGTCATAGTTCAGAAACTCCACCTGCTCCTCCAGCATCATGCGGTAAGCCAGGGACTGCAGCCAAATGTGTGCCGAGCCCAAGTGGACAACCTCCACAGGGTCCCAGAATGGGTCATCTTCCTGAGCCACCTGGCTGTCTTCACTCTCTAGAAAGCGCTGGTAAAGTTCCTCCATCAGGAATTTCCTATTGATAAACTTGGCTTTTGACCAAATCCATACCTGGGGATGCAAACGGGGTCACCCAGCGTCTTAGTTACTTTTCTATAAACTTGGCTTTTGACCAGATCCATACCAGGGAAGGCAAGGGAGGTCACCCAGCATCTTAGTTACTTTTGTGTTTCTGTGAAGAGACACCATGACCGAGGCAACCTGTAAATGAACATACTCAGCTGGGGGCTGGCTTGTGGTTTCAGAGGGTTAGTCCAAGATCATCATGAGAAGTGGGCAGCAGGGCAGCAGGCATGGCCCTGGAGCAGTAGCTGGAGCGTCACATTCTGATCCACCAATTGGAGGCGGAGACAGACTGGATGTGACATGAACGTCCAGTGACACACTTCCTCCACCAAGGAGACACCTAATCCTTCCCAACACAGTTCCACCAGCTGGAATCTAAACATTCACATACATAAGCCTACGAGGGCCAATATTATCCAAACCACCAGGCCATGTCCTGTTTCATTTGCTGCTTAAACAACCTATCTTTTATCCAGTCTGTTCCTCCTCGTGGGTGGAGTTTTGGGAAGACCACACACTACTCTCATCAAACTTAACTTTTCGAGGCCCATCCAGAACCACATTGTAAGTGATGAAATGGAGCCAGAGAGATAATTATGACTGATTAAAGATAGAGAGGCCATGAACCAAGGTGGCTTGGTGGTGTCTAGAGGTTGGAAAAAGCAAGGAAATAGATTTAACCACTGTTTTTTTCACAGTTGGACTCACAGCCTACAGAGAGCTAAGGTAGACCTTGGGGGATTCCGTGAGTGACAGCGCTTGTTATGGACAATAGATGATAAATACAAAAACTGGTCTACCGGAAAGCCGGTGGCTCCACAGCAAACACAGAGCCACGTGCTGGGTGGACAACCTTCTGCCTTCCCTGTAGCTAAGCACACAGGTACGTCAGCTCCATTTCTTAGAAGCCCACAAAGGGGTTCTACTCTTGTTCAGGTATCCACCAGTGAGCAACAAGTCCAGGACAGGAGTTGCTGCCTCTCACTGGGCAAGACCAGGGCCTCTTCAAATGCCTGCTATGGAGAGAAACTTAAGCGAAGTCCAGTTGGAAATTTTCTTGATTTAAAATGTCACATCAGAAGTGATATGAAGTAAAACCAACAACCCCTTCGTAACTAGAATAAAAACAAAAGCCAATGGCTAAAGCCTTGTCTCCATGAACATCACCTTCAATGGGAAAGTTGCATGACAAACACAGATTTTTCTGTCTCTCTGGCCTCCAGGTATGTAAGGAAGCACCATACAGAGATGTATGTTTCTGTCCCATGCTCACCTATACCATCTGGGTAAGCTTCCAGGTTTTTTTTTTCTTTTGAGTCAGGTTTTATCTCTATTATCTCTATTCCTGATGGCTGTCCTGGAGCTCACTATATAGACCAGGCTAGCCTTGGAGACCCACCTGCCTCTGCTCTCTGCTCCTGAGTGCTGGGTTTAAAGGTGTGCACCATCACCTTAGATCTCTGGTCTACAGGCAGGGCTACACAGAGAAACTCTGTCTCAAAAAATAGAATCAGGCTGTCAGCAGGTCTGTAGAGCATTTCTTAACTAGTGATTGATAAAAGAGGACTGAGCACATGGTTGGTGGGACCACCATGGGCTGGTGGTCATGCGCTCTCTAAGAAACAAGCTGAGTGGACAATGAGGAGCAGATCAGTAAGCAGCACTCCTCTGTGGCCTCCAGATTCCTGCCTGTCTTGGTGTGGGAAGTCCTTTTGTATGTGTTATTTTTATTGGTTAATGAATAAAGAATCTGCCTTGGCCTGTGATAGGTAAAGTAGAGCTGGGGGGGGCGCTAAACTGAATGCTGAGAGAAAGAAGGTGGACTCAAGCGATGCCATGGAGCCACCAGAGGGACACAAGCTGCCAGCTGGAACCTTGCTGTTAGGCTACAATCCTTGTGGTAAAATATAAAATAAAAATGGATTAATTTAATATGTAAGCGCATTCTAGAAACATGCTAGAGTCATTATTATTTAAAACACTGCTTGGCTAGAGTTTCTGTGTGGTTATTTTGGGGCTGAGCAGCTTGGAATGAACAGTCTTCTTACAAAAGATTGGTGCACCAACGTGGCCAACTAAATCCACTTAAAACCTGAGAGAGTCTGGGAAGGAGTTCTAAACACAAAAAGACAGTTTAATGCAGTTTCTTCTCCACTGATGGTGGCAAGCAGAGACACAGCTCCGTTAAGAGGTTTCCTGACTCAGCTTTAGTGGCAGAACTGTGTGGTTTCTTTAAAGGAAGGCTTCTTAATTCGTGCCAGGAACAGCTCTGGCTCTTTTTAGGGGCTGATGCCCGCCACCCACTTTGGCTCCAGATGCTTACGTGTCCACTCAGGGTCAGTAGGAAACTAGCTGAGACCATGCCCATGGCTCAGCATTCCCCACCTGGCAGGCTGCAGATTCAGGTTTGCTAGGCTTACAAAGGCAGGAGAACATGGTGGATTCCCACCGCCATACACAGAGATATTTCTAGGCCATGCAGTGTGCTGCATGGCGGGTTTAGCTTTTACTCAGATAAAAAGGGTTTATATGCTGCACGGTGCTCCCCAGAGTTGAGGTGGTGAGGAAGGCTCCCACTAGGCTGTAAACATGCTTCCTCCATGTTGGACTGGGAGGAGCAAGCAGGCAGGGCTGTATTGGCCCTAGCCACACCCACTTAGCATTAAAAAAGAAGGTGCTTCTGGTCAGAAAATAATTACAGATACACAATAAAGACAGAATCAAATAAAAAAAAAAAGACCTCTAAATGGGTCACAGTGTTGGATAATGTACATAGGCTTGGGAAAGAGAAGATAAAGAGTAATAAAAAGTAAATTATTTTGAAAAAGTCTTTAAAGAGACAGTACAAACAGTCATAGATTAAAGAAATAGAGAAAAATAAGCCACATAAAGATGGAAAATACAGAGAGTCTAGATTATGTATATTATTGTGTTTTCTTTGAATTTTTTGACTGTGAAGGAGCTAAGTACAGAGAGATATTTCATTGTATGGGCTGCTAAGCTAAACCATCCTATATATTTTAAAGGTATCATGACTTCAGAATTTGGGTCTAAGAATATGTTATTTTGGAAAGAGGTTCTTCTTTTGTTTCCACAGAGGATGGGAACCTGTGGAATTCTTCCAGACTAATGTGGTTTGACGGACCAAGACCCCACAAAAGGTTGCCCACCACCAAAAATACTTCACCCAACAAAACACAGGAAGCAATTTGGAGAACTATGCCCAAATTCCCAAATATTTATAAATGTTTGTTTACATTGAAAGGGAGATAGACTATAGATATGAATACTTTGCATTAGTATGGATCTTGGTTTATTTATACAAATTTAAGATCAATTTTGTTATCTTATACTTCTGCTCTTGATTATGGTATTGTTCTTGTGCAGTTCCTTTAAAAATGTAATGTATGGTATGGGAGAATTATCTGTATTCTGTCAATCATATTTTAATAAAACGCTGATTGGCCAGGCAGGCAGTATAGGCAGGAAAGCCAGACAGGAAGTAGAGGTGGAGCAAAGAGACTGGGAGTATTCTAGAAAGCAGGAAGCTCCCTCCACATTCCTGCACAGACCACCGAAGAGGCCACATGTGAGCTGCCACGCTGAGAAAGGTACTGAGTCATGTGGCTAACATAGATAATGATAATGGATTAATATAAATTACAAGGACTAATAAGAAGCCTGACCTAATGGGCCAATCAGTTTATAATCTTATGGAGTCCTGTGTGTGATTTTCTTTGGGATATGCCGGTTGTGGGGTACCGGGCAGGACAGAAACCCCAACAAGCCGGCCCATCATGTTACAAATGTATAATTAAGAAATATAGGATAATAGAAAGTGATCTATAAAAGTCAAGCTTGTAATCATGTTAGTTAGGGTTTCTAGATGTACAGAGATATATTTCAGATGGATAGTTATTCTTCAAACCTTTTAAAGACTATAGAATATGGCATTTAAAATGTTTTAAGAACTTAGGACTTTGACAATGAGACACATCTGCTCCTGGCAGCACAAATTACTTCAAGAGGATGATAGGCATCAAAGAGGCTCCTTATGAAGTTGGTTAGACATTTAGGCAAGGAATTGCTCTTGCCTGGACTGCTTGATGTTATGCTGTATGGCCTGGACTTGCAGGACCCACAGAAAAATTACTGTTGAAGTTGCCTAAAAAAGGTGAGACTGTCCTTCAAGGTTCCTGCTTCAAGAGTCTGCCAGACATTCTGCTGGACAAAGAAAGCAACTGATAGACTTTGCCATTACAAGGCAGAACATATCTTCAAATTTCCTGCTTCATGGAAAAGTCTACCAGATGCTATGGGCCTGTGGGCTGAAGTTTGGATGCCCCAATGATACAGAAGAACTTTGGGTGACTGTCCAGGCAGCGAGATGTCGCTCTCAATTCTAGAGTTTTGGAAGTTTCTTATAATGCACTTCCTGTTTACTTAGGTAATATTATATCCTTCTGGAGTCTTTGATGGAGTTGAAGACTAGTTATAATTTTCCTTAGTTATGATAAAAGATAAAGTAGATATAAATATTGTTACTATAATTCTTACTTGATATCTGTTTCGTTATATGTAATTTTACTATGTTAAAGTTAAAACCTTCCTTTTTATTTAAACAGAAAAGGTGAAATGGTGTGGGAAGTCCTTCTGTATGTGTTGCTTTTATTGGTTATTCAATAAAGAATCTGCCTTGGCCTGTGATAGGGTAGAGTAGAGCTAGACAGGGGAAACCAAACTGAATGCTGGGAGAAAGAAGGTGGAGTCAAGAGACATCATGGAGCCACCAGGGGGAAAAGATATGAGTCGCTAGCTGGAACCTTGCCGGTAGGCCACAAACATCATGGTAAAATACAAAATAAATGGAAATGGGTTAATTTAATATGTAAGAACTTACTAGAAATACGCTAGAGTCATTGGCCAAGCAGTGTTTTAAATAATATAGCTTCTATGTGATTATTTCGGGGCTGAGCAGCTGGGAACAAATAGTCTCCTACAACACTGCCTTGCTTGAGTTTCTGTCTTCACTGCTTTCAATGATAAACTGTTACACAGGAGTGCGAGTGAAATAAACCCTTTCCACCCCAAGCTGCCGTTGCTTATGGTGTTTTATCACAGCAGTAGTGACTCTGACAATGTCACTAGAAAAGATCCTAGGAACTAGCAGTATGAGAGAAAGACCAGGACACACAAAGGGTCCCCAGACTCAGCTCCTACTCAGAGCATCTGGGGGTTTTGTCTAGGTTGCAACTGGCAAAAATCCCCTGTGTACTTTGGAAACTTTCCAAGGATACTCATGTCTGCCCACTGATGGGGTCTTACCTCATGAGTCCTTGGTTTGGTCACCTTCACCATGACCTCTTTCTGGAGGTCGAAGCCCCTGGAATCTGATGATGCCAAGTTCTTCACCTTCAATTCCATTCTAAGTCCCTGGTAAAGAGATAGCTCACTAAACAATCCCCTCGTTCATATTCCTTTTACAGTCTCTTCCCCATTCTTCCCAGCCCCAGGCTTTGTAAAAGAGCACAGCCCGGCTCTTCCTGTTCCTCAGAGTTTCTGCCACGCCAAATAGCAGATCACCGGCATCTCCCAGTGGTATCCTGGATCTAGCGTTTAGACTTCCTAAGTTGGTTAACTCCCTTTCAAGGCTCCTGCTGACTGGGATCTTGTGTTCTCAGGAGCTAACCCCAGCCGAGGTCCACTGTGTGGTCTATCAGCCACTGAGGTGCTGGAGAGAGGCGTGGGGACTTCAGAGGTGGTCAATTATGGCAGTAAGTGTTGGTCTGGGAAGCTAGTGTCAGGTGCTCAGCTGGCTGGGAAGGCCTGAGGGTTAGTTTAACTCTGTCCCTAGCTCTCAGTGCCATTGTGGGAAAAGTCTCAGCCTTCCCCAACCTCGGACCTTTGGGGACCTGACATTCTGCCATCACTGGGGGTGAAAGGTCACCTTCTTTAGCTCCTCGCTCATCTGATTTGCCTCCACAACCAGCGGCATGAGTTTGATGTAGTCCTGGAACACAGCTAAGATGCTAGGGTCAGCTTGGCCATCTCCAGGGCTCCCAGTACCTAGCGAGAGTCATGGAGGAAGTGAGTCTGTTTGTTCTGCCACACACTCAGCTGTTCACTTCCACTGCCTCAAAATCTTGGCTTGAAGGCCCTCAGTCCAGTGTAGTTCCGGACTGTCCAGGAAGGAAGGTTAAAGGAAGTAGAAGCCAATGGGCCAGAGGAGGGGGCTGAGTCCTCGGAGACCCAGCATGTAGTCTGTTCTCCTTCAGTTGAGTCTGGGTGCTATGGAGGAAGGGTCATAGCAACTATGGGAGGTCCTGAGCCCCTCTCCAGACTTGGAGGAACACTGCCTTGTGTTAGGACCTGTCTACTCCTTAGAGACTTCCCACCCGTGGGTCACATGGCACCGATGCCTCAGAACTTCCCACCAGGCTGCCTTGGGAACCTGCCATCATCACCAGACCCAGAATGCTTCAGCCCAGGGCCCGAGGTTTAATGAACTTCCTGTCACCACCGTCCCTATGCTGGAAAGGCATCTGCACAGTCAGTTATGAAGAACTAAATGAAAAGGGTTTTTTGTGGATGGTTTTGCTTATGGTTGTGTGTGTGTGTGTGTGTATACAGTGTGCACACAGAGACCAAACAGAAGGGTGTCATGTCTTCTATCACTTTCCACGTTATTCCCCCGAGGCAGCGTTTCTCCATGAACCTAGACAACAGTCACTAAGCCGTCTTGACTCTGTCCCTCTCAAGACAACACTCAGCTCTTTATGTGGATGACGGTCTAAACGTATGTCCTCATGGCTGTGAAGCCAGCATTCTTAACCACTGAGCCTTGGGTTTACATCAAGAACTTGAGAAGAATGTGGGTGTGGCAATTCCGGTTCTCAGTAGGCTGAGGCAAGTTAACACCTTGATACCACCTTGTGCCATACAGTGAGTTTCAATCTAGCCCAGGTGCCTCGTGAGATCTGAAACAGAGTTAAGTATGGTGGCTCATACCTGTCATCTCAGCACCCCACTGCCCCTTGGCTGTGGCTTTATTAAGGTCAACAGAGCCTAGGTGCCTCCCCAAGAAGCCAGTATATCACAAAGACCTCAGTGGGATCCAGCCAACCCTGTGCATATGACTTGGGGCTAGGGGAGGAGGTGTGGGAAGGTATTTAAGGAGCTCTGCTTCAGGAGTAAGAGGATGTGGACGGGCAAAGAATGGAGCCTCTAGGAACCCGTGGGAATCCTAGATAGTGCAGGGGTGGAGGGTGGGTTGAGGGGCAAAAGATACCTTCCACTCAGAAACCCAGAGCTGCAGCTTCTTCCAGACCAAGGCCTGGACCTCACCCCTCCCCATCTCTCCAGCCCAGAGCAGGTCTCAGTGTGTGCTGTAGTGCTCCCCACTGGCTGAAGGCTTTTGTCTAAGCCACCCGCCTTCTCAGCATTCTTGCCTCAACTTGCTGCGTGGAACACTCTCCCATACCGTGAACTATTTCCATCCTCATCCCTAGGGAAGGGCTAGCGACCTCATTCTGTTGACATCTATTCAGTTTTCTATATTTCTATTTCTCTGTTTCTATTTTGGGGCTGATGATGTAGCTCAGTGGAGCACTTGTCTGGATTGCAAAAACACAAAGCATTGGGTTTTATTGCCAACACACACACACACACACACACAGAGAGAGAGAGAGAGAGAGAGAGAGAGATCTCAGATTTTAACTTTCTGCATCCTGCACTCTGACTCCATGGAAACAGTTGCTTTTATGTTTCCCCGGAAGGCAGGTCCAGGAACGCTTACCAAGCATGTCCATGCTGACTCCCTCAGCAGCTGCCCGCTCCAGCTGGAAAAAGTCATAGTCGTATCTACTCAAATCTTTAGCGCCTCGCTCTGAGGGAAACCCGATGTAGAGGAAGGCACTGTTGGATCCCAAGATGATGCGGTCCTGGAAGGGAGAGCGTAGGGAGGAAAGGACCTGATCCAGGGTCCAGGCTTCTTGAGCCAGAGCAGAGAGAGCCTCCGTGACCACTGACATTCAGCCCTCTGCCAGGATATGGAACCACCTCACTCTGAGCCTCAGAAGAAAAGCATAGGATGGGGGTGGGGTTCTGTAGAGTGCACTGGGGTCTGATTCAGATTAGGTTATCAGAGTTCCTCTGAGAGGGCAGAGGGTTAAGTGCAGACGTATGCGGGGGGGCAGGGGGGTACACTTTTCAGTGAGGTTGATCACACTGCTGATGAGCCACTAGAGGGAAGTCCTTGGGAGGGGCGTGTGCTGGACAGCGAAGCTACGGAGGGCTCACCCAGCGCTTCTAAAAGGGGAGTGACTGAGCCTCCTGCCTGTCTCAGAGGCTTGTGGCTTCTGTGTATAGTGACTGATGGAGGGAGAAGGCATCAGGGTGGCCCGTAGAGCCACTGTGGTGGTAGAGACTCCAACGAGGGTGGCAGAACAAATGGGAACAAAGAGGGACTGATAAAGGCAGATAACTCGTCACTCCCCAGGGCAGGCTCTCTTAGGCCTCAGATGTCATCAAATGTGAGTGCCAAGAAGGGTCTTGAAGAGTATCTATTTTCACCCTCCTTGTGTTGGGGAGGATGTTCCCGAGATACAGTGAATTGGGAGCCTGTCTGTCACCCCAGTCTGTGCAACCTGGCAGAGGTAGAAAGCCCCAGGCCTGGCCAGTCCCTCTCACTGTGACAGGAGACATTTCACAAGAGAGTCCTGCTCCCCCCGCCCTTGTCACCATCTTGAGGGTAGCAGTGAAACACTTCTGTGGCTGGGAAGGGACGTACCAAGTGCTGCAGCTTTGTCCTGCTGGTGACAGGTACCCCGTTAACAATCACCTTGCACTTGCCGTGTGGTGCGACTGTCACTTTACCGTCCAGATTCACGAAGGAAGCGTGTTTATCTGTAATCCTAAGGAGACACGAGTTTGTCAGAGTCACCCAGTAGACTATGATTTCAAGGCTGGTTGAGTTGCACAATGACACCCACAGCTGTGGTCAATGGGGGAGCTCCCACTGTCCCTCACCCCACACCGAAGCTGCAGGACCGGGCCCTGGAGAGGGCAGGCAGTTGGAAGATAACAAAGATGCTATTCTATTGACTGAGCAAACTCTAGCTGAGGGCCTACAGCTGCCAGGAACCATCAGCTGCTGAGACCGTCACAAGTCCGTCACAAGCTAGCCAAGATTGTGTATCAAAAGATAGTAAAGAACGGTGGTGTGTATACACCAGGGGAAACAATCCGCCAGAAAGGAGGAATGGATTCCCAGGATGTCAGCAACATGGGTGCAACTGGAGGGCATTGTGAAATCAACCAGGTACAGAAAGACAAATAGCCACATGCTCGCACCCATACATAGAGGTCAAGACACTGGTCTCGGAGAACAGAAGAGCAGAAGAATGCTTGCCGTAGCTGGGGGCGGGGAGGTAGGGCATGGGGGTGGGTGAGGGAATGGTTAATGATCACGGGATGGATCTTAATAGGAAGAGAGCATCTGGTGTTCTACACGTAAGCTTATGAGGCTCAAAGTCAGTAGTTGAAAGTTTAAAATCTCTAGCACATCTGATCACCAGCCTTGGATGTAGGTTCTGGAAATCACTCTACAGAACACAACATACACATGACTATGGTGCCAATTAAAACATATATATGGAACTTTAAAATTTTTATTTTTTGTTTTCTTTTTGTTTTTGTTCATTTGGTTTTTGCTTTGTTTTTTCGAGACAGGGTTTCTCTGTGTAGCACTGGCTGTCCTGGAACTCTTTGTAGACCAGGCTGGCCTCAAACTCAGATCCACCCGCCTCTGCCTTCCAAGTGCCAGGATTAAAGGCATGCGCCACCATGCCTGGCTTAAAATTTTTAAAAGCTGCTTCAGTAAGGGCTTCAAACAGCTGAGGAGACAGCTATCTGAAGGTACAATCGTGAAAGGCCCTCCACGATGTGCTTGGTCTTTCATCTCCCCTTATTTTTGGCAGGGTCACCTTCTGCTCATGGTTCTGTCTTACAGGATTTCCGCTGCCATCCTTTTTCTCCCAAGATGAGCGGAGGAAACAGGGGGTGTGCCCCACACACTGGACTTCAGCAAGCCCCTCCTGCCTGAGCACTGGAGGAAGTACCGAGGGAGGTCTGGGAACTTTTTAATATTGCCCATCCAGCAGGACTTACAGTGTGGCTTACCTACAACCAGATGACTTTCCAGAATCTACTCCAGTGAAGCCTATTAGCACAAGCCTGACAACCCAACACTCAGAGCAGGGGCAGAGGGATTTCGTGTTTGAGGCCTACCTGATCTACATAGTGAGATCCTGTCTCAAAACAAAACAAAAAGCAAAACACCAAAAAGACAGATCTCTAGGTTGAGAATGTCTGGTCCTCTAGTTTCGGGCGGGCGCTATTCTTACCCCAGGCCTTGAAGACAGATCGCATTTGAAGCAGCCCGACCAACGTCACAGGAACCTGGAAAGAGTTGGGACAGCTTATCTTCAAATGGGCAGCATTTGGCCTTGATGACGTAATATGCTTGACAGTCTGATAGTGGCATTTTTTTCTTCAATAAGAGTATGCAGAGTGCCCCCCCCATTGGAGCTGTCAATCATAATAGTACCTGGATATGACATTGCTTTATGGATAATTGTTTTACTTTCTCCTCTTTTTGTCTTGGGGCCCCCAACTTGGTGAAAATGCCACCTTTTTATGGCCCTTAGTCCTCAGCGACCCACTGAAGCCGGGACAGAAAGGCTCTTAGAAGCTGTTTCTGTGGTGGCCAGCCCCTCAGGATGCGCCATGTCCCCTGCAGCTCCTGGGTGCTTCTGGCTGCCCTCCAGCCTCCATCCTGCACACGGCTTAGGCATGCATAGAGGTCAGGGAGGGGAGAACAGGGATCAGGCCAACTCTGGGCATTGAATGCCAACTCATTCAGGAGCATACATACTGGAGAGACATTCCAAAGGCTGCCACTTCCTCAGAAACCACTAGACAAACCTGTGATGTGACCACGTGTGGGTGGTGGATAATGCAATATAGGTAAATGATAGGGACCACTTAATATGGAGATGCTTTAGTGCCTATGCACTGCGCACTCAAGAGTGGTGAGGGAGGTGAGCTTTATGTTGTATGCTTTGGAATACACAATTAAAACTATCAAAAAAGAAAAGGGAGAGAAAAGGATGGAGGGAGAGAGGAGAAGGAAGAGGGAGAAGAGGGGAAGAGAGGGAGAAGAAAATGGAAACAGAACTGGCCTGGGGGGTGAGGGAGCAGGAGGATCAAGTACCATTGTGAATGAAGAACTTGAGAGCACCTGTGAGCTGTGGGTCCTCATTGACGTTGAGAAGGTGTGGGAGAGCCTTCACCATCTGTTGCTCCTAAGAAGACACAGAAAAGCCTGTAGATACTTAAGGTCCCAGGTCCTCAAGAGGGAGGAGAGCTGTCCGGACATGCCTGTTCCTGGGCCTCCCTTCCTGTCTCCCCCTCCCACAATCATCTTCTACTGTTCCTCCCCCCTTTATTCTGCCTCATCTTTTTTCTTCAGGCCCCCCCCCATCCTCAGGCTGCTTGCTCCCCTCGGGGTGGCCCCTCCCTGGGTAGCTTAACCTGCTACTACCTGACTAATCCTCAGCTAGAATGTCTAGTGAAGAACGAACACTGCAATCTCCCTCAGTGATGCCCAAGCGCATTTAAGTCTT